ATATATATGTATATATATATATATATATATATATATATATAAATAATATGTGGCTATCATGGCTATCATTTAGTGAGTGCCTGCATGTGTTACTGGTTGGAATACCGCCGAACGTAATTCCTAATTAATCAAACTATCTTTAAAATGATCTAATTAGGTATTAGATTCCACTTTTCAGTTAAACATTGAAAATAAATAATTAATGGAAAATTTAAAATTCATTGTTAATAAATGATTAGATTCTAATTCTCCAGCTAATCACTAAAATAAAGAAAAGCATTCAAATGAGGTTTATGGATTGAAACTAAAATGGAAAACTGAATGTATGACAAAATATGGTGCCTAAAAAGTGAAATAAAAAAAAATCCTGCCTTGCGGGCAAACATGTCTTACCAAGTGATAAAAATCGAATTTACTGTTTCACTTTCCGCTTTCATAATTATCATTGCCACATGTTCGAAATTAACATCTTTTGTTACACCGAAATTACTTAATTATCCAACGCACGTAAACGTATAAATATTTCAGTTCATCAAAACTCTTGTACGAATCACGCAAATATGTAATTCATATATTCGACATCGAACAGCGGAAAGTCGACAGCATTCATTTTATTGTTTCTATCCATTTCCTTTTCAGTTATCCGTATTCTTTGCCCTTATTTAGAAGCATGTTACTTCATCTCATCCTTGAGTATCGTGTGTATATATATATATATATATATATATATATATATATGTGTGTGTGTGTGTGTGTGTGTGTGTGTGTGTGTGTGTGTGTGTGTGTGTGTGTGTTTAGACAGTAAATTCTCTTTTAGGCATGTCTGATTGAATAAATTACAGACATCATATCTGCTAATTTTTAATAAAATCCGTTCATATTCACGGATATCCATCCGTGTATTGATGTTAAAAGATGAGAGAAATGTGCTATAGCTGTTTAAATTTATCTTATTTCCGGTGAAAGGAAGAGAACAGAGACAAATAAAATACTGCTGAACTTTTATGTATTTTTTAATGTGGTTTGTAGAAGAGACTTTGTAAATTTTCCTGTTTCTTAATAGATAGTACTTCTCAAGAAATATAGAGAATGCTGAATTATTACGTAATATCGTCCCTCTTGAATGGCAGTGAATGATAGACAATCTCTTCACTGGTGAAGAGAAGACTGGAGACAACTGAAACGGATAAAAAGTGCTGAAGTTTTATGTATTTTTAATGCCGTTTGTAGAAGAGACTTTGGAAATCACAGGTACAATAATAACGTTAATAATAACGTTGTGCCACATCTAAGCCGGGCTTAGAAAATCACTATATATTTTTCCTTTATACGTGGCAGAAAGTTTTGATTTACAGGTTTTCTTTTAAAATTCTTATTGTTATGAATTTTGGCTTAGGAGATTAAATAATTATAGCGTAAATAACTCGTCCACTGATTTTCTCTTATTTGTATCAAAGACAAGTCTACAGTCGAGATGATTGGTGATGCGACGATTCACAAAAGCAATTATATCCATACATTTATTATTATCTTGTTAGTGTTGTTTAAATACAAATGATCTACTTTTGCTCTCTTTTCTCTTCATCTTTTTCCCGTGGTATAACCGAAGTGGGAACTATCATGGATAGAATGTAGGAGGTGGAAGTTTTCCAGGTTCCAATCGCACAAAAGGAGACATCACTAATGTAGAAAAATCACGTAGTAGAGATAAACACTCAGTTGTGGAGCAAGCTAAGTAAATAATACTCCAACCTTTAGAAAGAGAGCTATTTATGTTGCCATCGAGCATCTCATTGTGCTAAAGTGGGATAGTCCATTGCTTGGGCTGTGATTGGCTGCTGGTACCTGAGTGGAGGTATTTCTATATAAATACCAGCTTGATTTATCAGTTAGTTTGCAGGGTTTGTATTAAGTTACAACCTGCTTTATTTTTGTCTGCCAGCTGGACGCTAGCTGGGACCTTTACGCCGGTAAGTGCTGTTTATTATTGTTATTCTACAACTAACTCTGGCAATTATTATAACACCAAATTCACAAATCAACTCTTTAATGCTCTGGGCGATTGTCCAGCGCTGGTTTTTTGTATTTGGTGACATAATAACTGTGATTTCAATCTCTTCGTCTCAGTTTGAAACGGACGAGCAGTAAGTGAGCAGTAATAAATTAACTAGACGAGATATTTCGTGACATGGACAGTAGCATGTGAACAATGTCGTTTTGTAGATTAAATAAAGGGTTCAGTTCGAAATTCCCCCTAGGTTGCCCGGCTCGGCATACACCTGATGAAAGCCGGAAAACAAAAGCCCACGTGGAATGGCATGTGAACAATCCCCCTTTGTAGATTAAATAAACGGTTCAATAGGTTGATTAAAGCCCACATGGAAATAATGGAAATAATTTTTTTCTCTTAAAAACAATGTTTTTTTTTTCCTAATTTCATTTCTACAATATTACTTTTTCTACGGGCCTCCAATCTGTTGCTGACTGGAGCAAGAAATGACTGGTTAACTTTAATGCGTCAAAAACAAAACTGCTCTCTTTTAGCCACCACAGAGAACTCTCCCTGCTTCTGTCCGCTGACCTGAGATAGAAAAAAATACATTGAATCAATTGCTTCATCTACCGCAAGGAAAGGTGGTTCTCTGTGTCGCGCCAGAAGGTTTTTTCTCTCCCGAGTCCACTCTTCAAATCCACAAATCAACCATTCGCCCTTGCATGGAATACTGCTGCCATATATGGTCTGGAGTCCCCGCTGTTCGTCTTAAGATCCTCTACAAAATCCAGAGAATGAAATGCAATGTGATTGGCCCTGATCTGGTATCTCGCTTACAGTCGCTCTCTCACAGACGTGTCGTCACTTCCCTCTGTCATTTCTACAAATAATTTCATGGTAACTGCTCCGACGAGCTACTTTCGCTAGTTCCCAAACTGCTTGAATTTAAACGTGCTACTTGTTTGGCATTTCGGTCCCACCCTTTCACTGTCGAAACTGTTAAATGTAGCCGTCTCTTCTACTTCAATAGCTTATGTCTCGCACTTCCAGGCTGTGGGACTACCTTCCTCTTACTCGCTTCCCTGATAGCTATAATATCCAACTACTCAAATGCAATGTCAATCGACATTTCCAGATGCCTTACTCTATTCCCCGTCCTTCTCTTCATCCTTTCCTCTTTCACGCCTCTTTACTCTTGCTCCCAATCTCTGTAACTCCTTGGTGCTAGTGGCACTCTCGCCTTGCTTGGGGTGAAATGCTCAAAAAAACTTTTTCTGAGAGTGTGCGGATAGTAAATAGGATGAAGAATTACTTTCTTAAATTCAGTAAAGTGACTTTGCAAATAACAAGGGGCGACAGTCGTAATAACAGTGGTAAATATTATTGTAGCTGTCAATCTCGTTGAAAAAGAGATATCGTCATGTATATGTTATGAGGCATATTTTCAATGACATCTGAAAAAACATTCATTTGAATGCTTATTTTAGAAATAGGTATCTTAATGACAAGACAAGATAATCAAAAAATGTTTCACGCTTTTCTCAGCCATCTATTTCAGTTTACGAAAAGAAAACTCACTTGTGGAAATATTTAATTGGATATATTCAGTTTTTTAAATAGCTGAAAGCAGTTTGTGTCACTGCTTCATCGGCTACAAAAATATTATTTTTTAATTTAGAACTAGAGAATTCATCAAATTTTAAACAAAACAAAAACAAACACCTTTAAACTGTACTTGTATGTAAAATACTATATATTCGAATTTTAGAATTATTTTTAAGTAACTAAAATAGTAACTAAGTTGGTTCACTGTGTCGTGCGAGATCATTTTTCTCTCTAAAATTTATCTTATATATCTATAAGTCTACCATTTGTCCATGCTTAGAATATTGCTGACTCATATGGCTTGGTGTTCCTGCTACTTATCTTGACCACCTTGATCGGATCCAAAGAAGAATCAGCAATATTATCGGTCCTGATGTGGCTGCTCGGCTTCAGTCACTGTCCCACCGCCGTAACGTTGCCTCTCTGTATCTTTTCTAAGTTTCATAGTAATTGTTCGGATGAGTTCTTCGGTATGTTATTGTTATTATATTCCCCCGCTCCTCAGACATGTACATATGGGAACTAGTTAGGATTTTCATAGAGACACAGAGGTATTATGGTGGCTGTAGTAAGAATGGTAAGTGAGAATGCGTTGTATTGGTGTAAGGAATATTGCAGTATATTTGGGTCAATGATTGTGGCTAGCTAAGTTTAATTTTAAGAAAGAAGAAGACCGTCCTTTCCCCCATTTCGGCCTTGTGCCATATTTTGTATTTTTATACAATTAAATATCGTTCTTCGCTATGGTACCTAGACTTTTTTTAATTTAAACGCATTACTAAACTGGCGTCGAGATCTCATCAATTTACAGTTGAGCTAGCTAAATGTAGCCGTAAGTCCTATGCTAACAGTTTCTTTTCTCGCACATTTCACTTGTGGAACTGCTTTCCGGCTCCATGCTTTCCAGTGAACTTTAATCTGTAAAAAATTAAATGCAATGTCAATTGCTATCTACTATCCTCCTGATTACTCTTTTATCTTTCTACTCATTACTAATGTTTCTGTTCTTAATTCTACCATACCTTGTATCTTAGTGGCTTTACTGCCTTGCATAGGATGATACAGATTATAAAAAAAAACTTTATGCAGAATTTTATGTTGTGAAACTCAAACATTAAAAATAAAATAATATTTTATTAAGATACGAGATTCACTCAAAGAACAATGCCATTTTTCTTTAATAGATTTAAAAAAAAACAAAATGCTTATGAGAATAGGCACCAATATTTCCTATTTCAATCGTGGTATTCCACCTTTGTATAACGATAGATATCTTGGACGCTTTCTTGGTCATATGCGAGTTACCGCTTTCACCACGTAATCACTGAAGAACAGCTATCCTCTGAGTGCCTCCTTCATAAGACTAAATATAGATAAAAATCTGTTGTTACTGCGTCAAGACCGTGGGCGGCAAGGTTGTCTAGCCACACGCCATGGTGGCTTGTCTAGTTTATAAGCTGATGTGAGGCTCTGCATTGCAGTGTTGCAAAAGCGCATCACTCATCTTCAAATTTGAAAAGATCTTGATCCGCTTTTTGACGATGTGCTCACGATAATCGTGCAGCCATTGGGCATAAACTCTGATAGTATGGCACTCTTTGAGTACCAAAAACACAGTACTCAGAACTTTCCCCGTGGATGATGTGACCTTAAAATGATTGATGATGTCACCGCTTTTATTTATTTTTTTATCTGGATTACACTGCTGAACCAATGTCTTAACTCGTGTGACGAACCTTTTTCTTTAAAACAGTGTGAGAGAATGTGATAAAAAGAAAATATTATTAAAGAGATAACAAAAAGAACACGAATTAAGAAGACAGAAGATAACGATTATCATTATTAAATAAAAAGCATATATATATATATATATATATATATATATATATATATATATATATATATATATATAAAACAAATAAGAAAAATTCAACAACAATAACGATATTTACTCACTTTCGTTTATTAGGCATAAAATTAACCATCCTCTATAGTTTACCTTGACTTTCACAGTTAACCTGAAGAATATTTTTGAGAGTTCTTAAATTTTAATATTTTGAAAACCTAAAATTCTTACATTTGTCTTCAGTCTATCAGCGGACCAAACGTATCGGTAAAGAAAAGTTTTCCTTTTGTTTTATTCATATTGTCCTTTTGCAGATATACTTTATTTATATCTGAATTTTTACACACACACACACATATATATATATATATATATATATATATATATATATATATATATATATAAAAATTCAGGGTCATTCTGCATTTGCTTAAAATAGTTACTGAAATTTATCTTTTATTTTTAAAAAATACAAAAGTATAGCTTTGTAAGGTGTTTTTTAAGAAGTGCAGGTTCCCCATAAACTTTTACTTGTAGTATATATATATATATATATATATATATATATATATATATATATATATATATATATATATGTATATATATAGCAGAGTTATGAAACGACAACTGGATGAAATCTGAGACATCATCTTCCATAATTAGACGACATAATTAGCAACACAATAAAGCCACTAAAACGAAGGAAACACTAAATGTGAAAGAATATGAGAAGAAAAAACATTATTAAGGAGAGAAAACAATAAAGAATAAAGAAAACGAATTAAGAAGACAGGAAAAAACGATTGGCATTGCATTTTAATTTTTTGAAAATCGAAGATGACTGGAAAGCAAAAGGCCGGAAGAGTCTTCCACAAGCTAGAAGTGCGAGAGAAAAAAAATTGTTAGCATAGAATATACGGTTACATCTAGCCACTTCAACTGTAAAATGATGAGACCTAGCTGCCAATCTAGTACTGCGCTTAAATTCATAAAGTATAGGTACTATAGAGGAAAGTTTATCAGAGCAATTACCATGAAAATATTTATAGAAAAGCCACTGAGAAGCTAGGTTACGGCGGTGGGAAATTGACTGAAGCCGAGACGCCAATAACGTTGAAGATTCTGCTTAGAAAGATTCTATTAATGTTACGCAGTATTAGAAGCTCGTGGGCAACAACTACCCACTGCTTCTTTTCTGCTAACCCAACCTTCACAGACTTCTAAACAGCAAAAAGTGTGCACTAAGCTGCAAGCACTACCAAATCTTACAAGTAAGCATTTACAATAGTGATTAGTCTGACACATGTAATGAGAATATCAACCTATTTATCCGTTTCTATTGGCCTATCACTGCACGGCCTGTCACTAAAGTTTTCCTTTTTCGCTCGAAGACTGCTATGAATTCTATTGAATTGTAGACTTTCCATATATATTTTCTAATTCCTGTGAATACTTGCAACAAATATCCTTCTAAAAGCAGACATTATATGACAGTTCTTTGCTTTATACATCTGTCTCGGGAAATAGCCATTTTGAAAGAGGCTTATAGTCAAGAAAATAGACGATAACACAAGATTTTCTCCTGGCCTTTTAAAAATGAGGGAATTCTGACTAATACTTTGAGAATTAAATTAGAACAGGCATTAATTTCTGACCGGTCAGCGTATTTCTATAGCTGGCCACATGTATTCGAGGATACCTGTATACTAGGGCGGCTAGCTAATCCCTATTGCAGACGCTTGCTCAGGCGCATTTATGTTTATTCAACACCCAAAAAGCCCACCTGTGGTTTATACTGCAACTATGCTGAGCAGACCTTAGATACAGTTTCTGAGAAAGAAAGAAAGAGCGTGTTATCTAGCGTGATCAACAATTTTAACAAGTTCTCAGCCACGCTGACTTGTGCCTTCGTGCTAGCACAGATATCGTTGGCACCCAATGGTTCCGTCTACCCAATTTCAATCACAAGGCTTGGGTCAACCATTTTAGGCACTTTCCATCGAAAAATCCGACAAATCGATCATGGTGAGATTCGAACTCGGGTCTCATGGTTAAAATGAGAACGTTCTAACCACTCGGCCACGTGCCCAGCGTATTTAGTATAACTCTAAATCATAATCTTGCCTTAATTGTTATCGTTACAACATTTCGGTTATTGTTTCTTCTTATGTCAACAGTGGAATTACAACCTTATCCTGTGAATTGAATAAAGGCTTCCGTTCAAAACTTTCCCTAGGTTACTAACTACAACTGACATCTAAAGAAAGTCGGATGGTCCACGCGCCAAGTCAGTGCTCATCTCTTCTCCGACAGGGTGCACTGGATTATATGGCATCAGCATCTATGCGGAATCTCTGATTTTTTCCAGTTGGGAGAGGTGGATTTATTTTTTTTCTCAGTTGAAATTTAATTTGCTGAAGACATCCTGCTAACGATTAAGTCAAATCCCCGCATCCCCAAATAAAATTCATTTTTAAAAGCTTTTCGCTCGATGTATAAAAAAAAAATATAATAAAAAGGGTTTCTAAAAGTCATGAGAAATGTTCCACTGTGGTTTTCAGTAACAAAATTAAACTACAATCACCACTGGTGAGCATTTATTTAAATTTTATCTGAACATGTCGAGTACGCATGCGTCTGAAAACTTATATTAGTTGTATTGCATGCAGGTGATTCTATTCTATTTTTCGCTATTTATTAAAAAAAAAGAAAAGAAATATAAGTTAGTAATTGTTGCTTCAGCGAATCTATTTCAGTTTAAGATTTTCTGTGAGATAAAAAAAGTGCAGAAGGGCTCTTCCATTCAAATAAGGAAGATTCTGTTCAGGTAAAACAATATGGAAGAACTAAGTACAAAGCCTGAAAAGACAACAATATTGAATATTAACAAAATTTTAGTTTGGGAGTTTTCTAAGAACAGAAATATATCTAATAGTTCTCTCTTTCTCATGAATTCAATTATATGTCTTTCTTTTCGCCACGGCATTCAACTCTTGGACATTTTTTCTTTCCAGTATGTCACAAAGAACATTTAATCTGGCACGTTACCATTTTTAGAAAAACACATCCTGACAATGGAACGTTCGGGTAGTGTAAATGTTGTCGGCTCGGGAAATGCACTGCATTGGTCGTGTTAAAATTTTCTACAGCAATTAGCTTTATTTTTTTTTCATTTATTTTTTATGCAATGATTTTCACTCTGTATAAGGCCTAAGAGCCACTCGAAGTAGAGGAGTACAAAGTAAGAGGCACAGTTTATGGGAATATGTGGGAAATATAACGGCTGGCTCGGTCAAGATTGTAGCGATCATAGAAGTATCCTCTTGAGAGTCGGCTCCAAAAAGAAATAGTTCGCGGGAAGAAATTGCCCGAGGGTAACTTCCATCTCACCAATGAAAGATGAAGAGTATGCCTAAAATAGCGAGATGAACCATTCTGCTTAGCCTTTAGTGGCAGCAAGGTTAGGATTCGTTTGAGTTTCTTGATTTTATATGACAGTCCTTGTTGAGTTATATATTATCGAAATTTATTTGTATTATTATATTTGAGTCTATAAATATTTCGTTCGAAGATGGACAAAATCATTGGTTTATATTTGAGTCTATACGTATTTACTCGGTTTGTGAATAAATATTGGTGGTTTGTATTTACGATCTACTTGGTTCAAGAATCTTGTTTGTCTCTGCCTTAGTTAGCACGAACGTTACGCCCTAATAAATAATGGACTATTCCGTTTTGATCGCGTGAAAGGACAGAAAAAAACACATCAGAGACGCTACTCGTTTTCAATAATAAAAAAAAGAACAAAGGAAGATAGAAGTGTTTATCGTCTGCTTCAGTGAAATAGAAAAAGTCTCGCGTGTTTAACATCTGCTTCAGTAAAATGGAAAAAAACAACTTGTCAATTTAAAATATTTTCATTTGTATCCCCTTACTTCTTAAAGTAACAAGCAATATTGTGTTAAAGTTTTTAAACCCAAATATTTAACGATGCAATATGGGAATTTCTACGGCTATTTCATTGTCATAAAACTTGTCATAAGCTTATTCAAACATTAACTTAAGAATTAAGATTAATCAGAAATTTCAAATAGAGAAACCCTGAAATTTTCATTGGTATTTTTAATAGGTAAATGTTGGTCGTTTATTATTTTAATCTATAAGCAGCTGTATTAGATGTCCCTTTTGAGGGGTGCCCTCTACAGGTAAAGAATCCGGCGTAATCTTGGCCTCACCGACATGGCCAACTACTCATGGAGAAGGGGATCACTGTATTTAAAACTGTAGGGAAGACAACAGCAAACTACTCCACTACCTTTCCCAAAACGGTCATAGCGTTTCATAATCGACAGATTAATTTAAAGAAAAGGAAGTTATGTAGGACTATAATCGCCTACTTTTTCATCTAGTAGGATATTTTAAAATATGCAGATTGAAAACAACCATGCATATAGTTGAATTGTTTTTATTTATTTAATTATTTTGTTCTTTTTAATTCGTCTGTCAAATATCGAATTAGAATTTGAAATTAACGAAACTGGACCAATTTTTAAATCGATTCTTTAAAAATAAAAATAAACGATAGTACTTTTTTAGACATTTCTCAAGTTTTCAAGATTTCAGTAAGATT